AGCATCGCCTGCACCATCGAATGATCCAATCAGTAGTGCCCAAGTCTTAAGAGCGGTCAAAAATGGGGTGTCTATAGGTAGATTATTTTATTTTTATTTTTTTTTCTTTGTGGTTATTTAAGGAGTTATGAGAAATAATTATTTTGTGAACAAGTAATTTCATTTTTAAGATTGGTTTTAAAAAAATATGGTTTCATTTGGGATGTGTTGTCCTAAAATGCAATATTAAAGTGAAAGACTTAGTAATTCTTTGTTTATCATGCTGTAGAAAATTGAATATCATGATTCAAACTTAGTCTTAGGAAATTAAGCTTTTAAGTATGTCAATTTAGTTAGGAACTTGAATGGATTTGAGTTTATAGAGCATTTGTTATTAAATTTTCAAAACTAACTAAGACATATTATTTTGCTACTACTGAGGTGTATATTTGTTACTGCCAATAAATGGAGTGTATATTGGTTTTATTGCTGATATAGAGTGTGTTTAGTCGTTGCTGATGAATAGAATGCATGCTAGTTCAAGGGATGGCAGCTTAGGGGGGTGTACATTGGTTTGGTTCCTTCCTATGTTTATTTGTATAGTTGTTTTATTATGTTTTTGGTTAGTTGCTCACCAACTGGGTATGATGCTTGCATAATAGAGGACCACCTTTGATTCCAATTTCCAAGTTTCATTGAATCATTCTATATGACAATAAAAGTCATCGTGTTGCTTGATTGTTTTCAACATTGGCAAGTTCATATGTGTTCATTTCACATGATTCACTTGCCCTCAGTTAGATCAGTTGTTTTTTGTGATTTAGGATAGATGAAAGTCTAATATTAAAAAAAATCATTTTTGCTAAATTGGTTTATAAAATAAAATTATTTATATATTAATTTAGATGTAATTGATAATATATTAATGTTTTCCTTTTTTATTTTCTTTGCAGATTGGTTTTCGATGACATTTGGAAGCATACTTACAAATCAAGATCAAGTGTTAATATTTTTTGTGGACCGATACTTAGTTTTACTTGTACTTAGTTCATTTTGAGATTTGCTGTGATGGTGTTTTTGTTATACTTAATGAATTATTATTAAATTTGTTTGATAGATATATTTAGATTTATAATATAAATTGGTTACTGACTTGTTTTGTGGAGTGATGTATAATAGCTAATGGATTTGTTAGTATATTTGAAGGCTATTGAGATATGAGCATGGATGTAACGCCCTCAAAATAACAACAATAAACCCATCAGATAAGACATGCGTTTACATATTCCCATAACTCAATATACAAAGTACAAAGGATGCAAACACGATAATAAACAACAACCAACATCCACGGACACATGTCCGGATCACTGTACAACAAGGGTAAACATTGAGATATGAGCATGGATATTTGTGAAATAATAATTTAAATTGAATTGTAAAATATAGAACAATAAGTTTTGTGACGAAATTTGTCGCCGTTCATATATGAAAAGTTTTATTGATTTTTTTGTTTGGTGACTAAAAATTTCGTTACGTATACATCTTTTTACCACGAAATATATTTCGTCACCAATGTCTAATTTTTGAAGACGAAAAATTTCGTCAACTTTACATTTTACTATTACAAATTATTTCCTCAACAATGATCAGCATATGTGACAAATTTATTCGTTATATATACGGTACTGAATAATTATTTAGTGACGAAAATGAAGATTTTTTGTGATAAAATGTTGTCTTATTGGTGTCAAAAAATTTCGTCACTAAAGTAATTTTATTGGTGACAAAATTATTTTTCGTCACAATCATTTTTAGTGACAAACATTCAATGAAAGCACTGGTGAGGAAAATATTTCTTCACAAATATATATAGTGACAAAATTAGCTCTTTGAAGACAAAAAAAAAAAAAAAAATCGTCGTTCAAGACCTAATTTGTTGTAGTAAAGGTGATGCAAAATTCTTAATCGAAACAATTATTCACAATTCACAAAGAGATTATTGCATCACCATATGGAAACTCATAAGCAACATCCAAAAAAGGAGACAGAATTTTGAAGATTGTGAAATCACCTTCATTCGTAGAGAAGGCAACTTTGTAGCAGACACATTATGCAACCACATTAAAGGAAAATATGGCAACTTCAAATACGATGACAAAACTTTACCACGTAAAATAAAAAATATTGTACATCCAGAAAGACAAGGATGTATCTATACATATTGTACATAATTACTCTAATATAGAGTACTTCTTCTTCTTGTTACCTTTTGAATACAACTTCTCATTGTACATATTTACTACAATATATTAGTTCCATTATTTTCGATTGTTACACACAAAAATAAAATAATAAATAAATAAATAAATAAAATACTATGAATTTTAAGATGAGGATTCTATACATCTTATTTTGTACTATCCAAAGACAACTTGATAAAATTAATCTAATTTTTCTATAAATAATATATATTTCGTCCCCAATAGCACGACCTCTACGCACTCCACGCGTGGGGTCCAACTAGTCTATCTATATGAGAATCTCTTCCATTGAACACATTTTTATTAGGAACACTTATGTATAGGTCTTAATACGTGAACTTATTATCTAATAAGTCCTATGAAAAAAATTAGTCATAAAAAAATATCACTAATGGTAAGTTTTAGCGATAATTTATAAAAATCATGACAAAAAAAAAGTTACTAATTGTTAATTTTTAGCGACATATATAAAAAATTATTATAAAAAAATTATTTTTAACGACAATTTTACCAAGACTTATTTTCAATAGGATTTGATGGGAATTAAATCTAACTATTAGGATCTATCAATAATTTACCCATTTGGGCAAAATTATCCTGAACAAATGATTGTATTCCTCAGCCAGGCTAACTTTATGTTAAACTATACTTTTATCCTTTTTATATTGAGAATATTACAAATTTACCTTATTGGGCCTAATGTAATATTGTTTGTTTTTAAGCTTTTTTTTTATAAAGCTTTGGTCCTTACTATATGGTAAACAAATTGTTTATCAGTAGATTGTCTCATGTATTATTTTAAATTCTTTGATAAAACATTATCTAAAGTTTATTTAAAATATGAATTATAGTTCAAAAAATTACAAATATTTTCTTATTAGAATTTGTCATTTCAGACTTATCAAAAAAAAAAATAATAATTCTAAATTTGAGAGACTTGTCATTTGAGAGACATACCAACAACTTGAGGTCCTATTTGATAAAATTGAAAACTAAAAAATAAAAATTAAGGACTCGTTTGGGAACAGGCTTTTTAAGGAATTTTTTGACTTTTTGACTAAAATATGATGTAAAAAAAAACTATTATGTTTGTGATAACCTTTTATTTTTTTACGAAAAGATGTACAAAAAGTAGAGAGAAAATAAAATCTTTAATTTTTTGGTCTAGGCTGTTGGCTTTTTGATTTTTTTTAGTTATTTTTTGACTTTTAGACTAAAAAGTGGTGTTGTCAAACGAGGCCTAAGTACTAAAATTTGAATATTAACTAAAAGGTTGTTTAATAAAAACATAAGTGCTAAAGTAAAATAAATTGTTTGATATATATGATATTAAATTTAAAATTTATTATTTTAAAATTATATTTTCTAATTTTGTATTGTGATAATGAATTGGTGGTCTATAAGAAAAAAAAAAAAAGTTGGGGGGGGGGGTAGTGGTAGTGGTGATTAGAAGCAATAATGGTGCCTATAGCGCTAATAACAATAGTTGTGGTAGATAAAAAGACAGTGAATGTGGTAATGATAGATGGGTAATGTAGTGATGATGAAAATTGGGTAGCGGCAGTGGTGTAATGAAAGTAATGAAATGATGTCGGTTATTGTGGAAGTGGAATGATGGTGGTGGTTATGACAATGGTTGCAATGGTTGTAGATGTAAAGTGCTATAGTAGTTGTTGTATTGATGGTAGTAATGAAAATGGTAATTGTAGTTATAGTAGTGAAATAATGATGGTATTTATAGAGACAATGATAGTGGTAAAGAAGGTGGTGGTGGTGGCAGTGTTGGTGGGTGGTGGTAGAGGTGACAACGGTGTGGTGGTGATAACGACATCGATCGTGATAATGGTGGAGGTTGTAAGATTTTAAGAATATATGCTGATGCTAATGTATAAATATATATAAATTCAATGACATTAAATAAGTTTTTATCATTTATAATTTTTGTATTTTTTAACCTACATTTTCATAACTACTTAAATTTTTAAGTGATACTATTTATAATTATCAAACATACTTCATTAATTTTAATTTTATATATTTAAATTTAAATACTGAATTAAATTATCAAATACCACCTTAAATAATGTCGATCAACCCGCTGATATCTTCACTAAGGCTCATCCTCCTGGCCGCTTCAATGATCTTGTTTCCAAACTCAACTTGGTTGATGCTTTCCCTCCTTGAGTTTGCGGGGGGCTGTTAGAATATTGTATAAATATAGTGTTTGCTTTCGGCTGTTAGAATATTGTATAAATATAGTGTTTGCTTTCGGCTGTTAGAATATTGTATAAATATAGTGTTTGCTTTCGGCTGTTAGAATATTGTATAAATATAGTGTTTGCTTTCGGCTGTTAGAATATTGTATAAATATAGTGTTTGCTTTCGGCTGTTAGAATATTGTATAAATATAGTGTTTGCTTTCGGTGTTAGAATAGCTTTAGCATAGCAGACTTCATTATATTATTAATTGTATAGTGTCCTTTCTCTCTCTATAAAGAGAGCCTTCATCCCTTTGTAAATCACACAACATAATACAAACATTTCAGAGTCTCTCTCTCACTCTATAGCTTCTCTCACTCTCTCAAACTAATCTTTCAAATAAGACTAAAAACTGAAAAAACAAATCACAAAGTTTCAAATTATAGTATTCCAAGAAAGTTCCTTCCCACCCCAATTCTCTCTTCCCAAACACAAGCAACACAAGATTAATCCTCAAATCAGCACAACACAACACAACACATATTCATATTCATAAAAATGTCTGGTGGTGGGGGGGTTGGTCCAAGCAGTGAACAAGAAGAACAACTCCAAAAAACCACCAAATCCAAAATCCAGCAAATCCCTCAGCCACGCACCAGAAGCAGCGTCCGCAGGTTCTTCAGCTTCCGCCAGCTGAACATGCTCACCATCGCCGTCTTTCTCTCCGCCACCGGCATGGTGAGCCTCGAGGACTTTGGCTTCGTCGTCTTCTCTTTCATCTACATGTACTTCTTATCAAAATTCTCATTCCCAATTCTCTCTTCTTCCCTGGAGGAACCCCCAGTCTTCGGCCAAAACAACAAGGTTCTTGGGATCTACGTATCCATGGCAGCCATCATCGGACTCTTCATTCCCATAGCATACATCTTTCAAGGCATCTTCGAAGGTGATAAAGAGGGTATCAAAGCAGCAGCTCCACATGTTTTCCTGTTAGCCAGTCAAGTGTTCATGGAAGGAGTGGCTTTCTCGGGCCGGTTTTCTTTGCCGGTTCGGGTTTTCGTGCCGGTTTTTTACAATTCGAGGAGGATTTTTAGTATTGTCGAGTGGCTGAGAGCTGAGATTTCAAAGGTGGATAATGATGAACAAGGGTACAGTGGGAGTAGGAGGTGGAGGTTGTATATTGGAAGAGGTCTTGCCATTGTTAATATGGGTTTGTGGAGCTTCAATCTGTTTGGGTTTTTGTTGCCTGTCTATCTTCCCAAAGCTTTTAAGAAGTACTATTCTGCTTACAAGGTTAACAAAAACTAAAGAATAATGTTGTATATATCAATTAATGTATTAATTAGTACATTAACAGATAATATGATATAATTTTAAAAATTTTGAGTATTTATAGTTTATACAATAAGTGATGTCAGTAATAATGACATAATACTAGTCGATACATCAGTGCTAAAATGTGAAGTGAGCTTTCTTATTTTATTTTTATTTTTATTTTTTTAGTTTTGATCTTGTGGATCTGGGTGTTAAACTGTAATTTGATGTGAGCAAGGATCCTCTAGAATGATTTTTTCTTAAAGTTTCCTTAGAGTACCACATTGTGTGGTTGAGATTTACTGACAAGTTATATCAATTTTTTTGATGTGACTTGCCAGTAAATCTCAACCACACAATATAGTACTCTAAAAAAGTTTAGAAAAATTTCACTCTAGAGGATCCTTGGTGATTTGATGTAACTTTGCTGCGATTATATGCCTTCTACTATTGGTATTGGTTCCGCAATTCCTTAGAGAGCTGTTTTGGCAATTTATAATTTTAGTTAAGTTTTTTGATTTAAAATATATATATATATATATATGTAAAGAATTAAAAAAAAAAATTAACTTTTTCATAATAAAATTTTAACTATTTAATTATTTTAATAGGTTACCAAAAACAAGCCTCACTAATATGCTTCTATAAATGTTTGCTCTTTGGTAAAGAAAAGCCATTGATAATCATTTTATGTTTTTTTTTTCAAAATTAAATATTTTATCTTTTTTTTAAAATTCAAAATTAATCAAACAGTAAACTGACAAATTTTATTTTTAAACTACGTTAAATCACATTTTTATGAGAGGATGATGGTTAATTACGTTTACTTAACATAGTCTGAATTGTCTTTTGTTTTTAATTTTTCTCACAAATATTTATATTTAAGTAGACAATGATGCCAGTAATAAAAAAAAAACAAAAACAAAAAAAAAGTGATTAGCAATTACGTTTTATCATAATTTCAGACTAATATTTGTGTGTATATTATTTATTTAGTTTTAATTTTTTTTTTTAATAAAAATGTGACATTTGTGAGTCATTCTTGTCTCTTAATTATCTAATGAAGATGAGTTGTATTGTTTCATCCATAAATAAAAAAATAAAAAATAAAAAAAAACCCATATTATTGGTTGGAAACATTACAAAAAAATAATATCATGTGATATTTTAAAACTATTGAATAATTTTTCAAAATTAGTATCAATCATGTAGATTAAATCATGTCACAAATAAATTTTACAACAAAATATCCACCTTATTTGGCTCTGATTGATTTTTTAAAAATTGAGCTTTTGCTTTATGTGTGTGTGTTTTTTTTAGTGAATTTTTTTAATATTTTTAATATTTTTTTTACTTTCTAGGTGCATATAACTTAGATGCACCTAAAAAGTAATTTGTGAAAAAATATTTTAAAATTTTAATAAATATACAAGACTACGAAATGTATTGAATTTTTATATCTTTTGTATTTAATGATTTTTTTTTTTAAAAAAATTCCTAAATATTATACTTTTTAATTGTAATTATGTTAGGTGCATTTAAAAAATAAAAAATAAAATCTTAAAATTTTAGATTTTAAATTTTAAATTTTAAATTTTAAATTTTTTCCTAAAAACAAAAAATAAAAAAAGAAATGAATTTTCTAAAAAGGGGACTCAATTCCCAAAATCAAAGAAGGCGAAGTTTCCCAAACTACTTCCATACTTCTGGTTTGACAAGTGCTGGTGTACCTTCCAACATCATATTTGTTGGAAATTTTAATTAAACTAAATTATTAATGTTATTTAATTTTTTTAACCATTATAATATTAATGTTGTATTGAAATAAATCAGCTATAAAATTATTAGGGCAAATTACAAACACCCTCTCAAGATTTAGTAAAAATACATATTCTCCCTTGAGGTTTGAGAAATTATAAATTGTTCCTGAGGGTCAAATTTTCATAACAAATTAGGAAAAATTAAGGAGGAATCTGTATGAAAATAAAAATCTCATGGGACAATTTGTTATGAAAATATAAATCTCAGGGAGCGGGATGTAATTTCTCAAACCTCAGGAGAGAATGTGTATTTTCACCAAACCTCGAGGAGGTGTTTGTAATTTGTCCAAATTATTATTTGAAAATTATTAGGGTTTTTTTTTTTTTGTTTTTTGACAATAGATATTCAAATTAACTTACATACACCACGACCAATTCTAGAGTTTTGAAGTTAAATGAGTACACTTTGTTGATGTTACCATCCAACATCATACTTGTTGGAAATATTAATTAAAATAAATTATTATTGATATTTAATTTGTTTAACCATTACAATATGGATGCTCAATTCATAATTTCAAATTTAAATTTCTTATGTCCAAAACTTCATACTTGTATGAGCACGAAATAATCTTTATCATATAATCTTGTTGATCAAGTTTGCGCTCCTCCAAACGTCGTCGCTTTACTTCTTAAAAACACAAACGTGAGCTAGCCGACGGGTGTGTGCCGGAAACCTCTTCAATGCCTAAGTCAGCAAATAGACAATAGACATAAAAGCCCAGTGTATTCTTAGAGTAAAAATTGTGATACATGTACACAGGTCTATAATGAGCTTTTATAGAATCCATATGGCACAATCCTAGTAGGACTTTAACTCTCTTTAGCAGAGTCCTCATAGGAATCAGAAAGGTAATGCTCATCTTTCTACACCCTCCTCACTGCTTAACCAAGTGAGATAGTTTTATCATGGTAGCATGACAAAAACCAACCGAGCTAACACCACCGTGCTTTACGGTAGATTTCACCGAGCTTACCTAGCTCGGTTCTACCTTGCCTCTTACAGCTCGGCTCTCTTCTCTCTGTACCTTGGTTCAGAACATTGAAACCAGTCTACTGGCAAACAGCTTTGACCAAACTGACGGGATAAAGGACCGGGCTAATCAAACTATCACCACAGCCTATAGCTCGGTCTATTTCCCATCGGGTCTCAACTCGGCCCATGTTAAAACATAAATTACCCTCTCAATTATCCCTTAATTCCATCTGCAACGCATGATTTGGGATTATTCTTCTCCAGCCGAGCTAAAACATCCAAGTGAACCGATTTAAAAATAAGTAACTCCTTCGGAATAATAATATTCAACCCCGCCGAAATAGATAAGCTCGGTCTTCAGCTCTGTACCTGCCACGACCCGTCGCTTCACGTACCTGACACCATGTCTTATCTGTGACACGTGACAGATGTCTATTGACCCTTTAAACTGCGATAGCCGTCTCACGTTAATCAAAAAACGTTTGTAAAGTCCAGCCGTTTCTATACTTATTCAGAAACCTATTTTCTGAATCTCACTTGCACTGTTCATCTTCGTTCTTCAGCGAATCTCTACATTCGAAGCTCCATACCCACGCCTCCATCCTCGTTGGCCTTCTTGCTGCTCGGTTATTTTTTCATGCCTTCCCACTCGTAAGTTGTTAATGCCTCTTTCTGATGTTCCTTTTTATCTATTACTTCATTTTTGGTATTTAATCTCCATATACATGTGTTTATATACACTATATTATTGGGCAAATTCCATAAACCCAAAACCTTATGCTTGAGCTCAAAGGCACACCAACTGGATTCAAAAAACATAATGTTTAATCCAAGGTCGTGCTGTAACCGAACTAGGTATTTGTTTTAGGCGACTCTTAGGTTTGAACACGGCCGAACTAAGAGATCGGTTATAATCTTACACACTTATCTCCAGCCGAGCTAGGGGCCTTGAGTTGGCCCTTCCCTACGACCCAACTGAGAGCCACCCGTTACCCATATGTAGCCGAGCTAGGCTTTTACTATTCTGTAAATTGACTAATTGCTTAGCCCGGTCCAGTTGTCTGGGCATAACATTTCTTATTTCCCCTTTTCAGACTTGACTAGGTTGGCCAGACACACCTTTGCACCCTGCCCCTAGGTGGTCTTTGCACAACCGAACCGATCAAAGCCTCAGCCGCGTCGAGTTGGGCAACTTGTGATGTCACGACCCAAACCCGCCCCTAAAAGTTTGGTCCATGATCGGCCTGTACATAGGCCTCAAAACAAAATTTTAGAATAATATTTAATCACATACGGGGCCTTAAGCGGAAGCAATATCAATAAAAGACAATATCCATTGAGCTTGTGTATACATGATGGTTTAATTGGGTTTAAGTATTTAAATACACTTCCAAATATACATATACAATCACAGAATTTATATAGATCTCACACACACTTACATAAAACTTAATAATTTATAACTCCCAACACAAATTAAGGCCTCCATGTGGAGACATACCCCAGGTGACTTGGCAGACAGGCGAACCTCAGTATAACTCTAGTGTCAATCCTCGATGGCACCTACAGAAATATACATAAAATAGAATGAGCAAAGCTCAATGAATAGTAGCACTAAAACAATTTAATGATTAAACTTGAATTGTAATATTTAAAACGTATATAAGTGTAGAGGTCATATAATTACTCTTGTCTTGTAAACATTTTCAGAACAGCCTTAGGCCTAACGAAGTTACAGATTAGCCATAGGCTCACAGATTCTACAGATTGGCCATAGGCCTAACAGATTCCACAGATTGCCCGTAGGCCTCATAGATTTCACAGATTGGCCCCCGGCCCAGATATAACAGACTGGCCACCAGTCCAGATATAACAGATTCATATACATATTCATAACCATTTTCATGCTCAGATTTTTGCATATAATCATACATGGTACATCCATAGCGTTAACAAATCCGATGACCCATGAAGGGACCTAATGACCCAAGAAGGGACCTGATGACCCATAAAGGGACCTGATCACCCATGAAGTGTCTCGCACAGATTCTAGAGGTGACTCACATTGCAGCACTTAGTTCCGTACAACACTTTGTTCCATACCAGAAATCATTAGATCTTAAAGACCGAACAATTCATATTATGGCATAGCATAGCCGGAGCGGGTAAACAGAACAGATTAATCCCAGATTCATGAG